CATCTGTAATAACACCCCATTATCCATGAGGATGTGGACTAATGTCTCCCATACATACATCTGTAATAACACCCCATTAACCATGACGATGTGGACTAATGTCTCCCATACATACATCTGTAATAATGCCACATTAACCTTTAGGTTGTGGACTAATTCAGCCTAGGTAATCCATCTGAAGCTGAGGCTTGGGCCTGGCCAGTACTTGGATGGAAAGCTGGGTTAATGCTGGAAGAGGTGCTGGTGTTGTGCAATGATGTAGGGCTGCTGCAATTAGTCGATGTAGTCAAAGACATCAACGCAGAATTCAATACTTTACATCAATGCATCTTTTTAAATTATTTTAATATAATATTTTTTTTGATTTCTGAAATGCTTCAGTTCATTTTGACAAAAGTTTTCCTTCAATATTAATATGTAATTGTGGAAGTATTTCAGCACTAGCGCTATGAAAAGAAATCACACAGGGACTTTTCTGGATGATGGACCACCAGAAAGGGTAAAACCACCTTAAAAGTTATTTATTAATGTTTATTAAATTACCATTAGTAAGGTGAGCTTTTAAATATATTTTGTCCTTGTAGCTGCTAAATACACATATTAATAAACTCATAAAGTTGTCTGCCTGCTACGTTAGAATCTTTACCAAAAAACATGTCGACCTTTAGACTGCAAAAAGTATTGCCACGCACCAACATCTTATTACCATTTATACACAATATCTGCAGTTGCTAAGCTGTCCCTTTCTTCACCACAACTTCAGTGCTTATTGCTTCCATGATTTACCAAAACAGTCGTATGTGGTGTGCTCTGCTAACCGAGTTTAATCAACATAAGGACATGCCAAATTTATGCAGATTACTAACTTATGGGCATCACAGTATGCCTCTCATTAACATTTTAGGCATACTATTAATATGCTAATTTTACTGTGGGCGTAAGGTCCGTACAGTGTGGAAAAGGACAATTTTATTTTGACAACAACAAAGTAACTTAAACAGTCCATTTGATTTTCTGGAAGAAAATTAATCATTCAGATTAATCGACCAATCAGTAAAATGGTTCAGAGATTAACTGACAGAAAATAGTCGTTACTGGCAGCCCTATAATGATGGGGACACAGTGCTTTTTGAAATGGTGATGTCCTTCGGATGAGACATAAAACTGAAGTCCCAAATCTCTGAGGTCATAAAAGATCTCTGGGAATCTTTTGAAAGAGTAGGGGTGGTACCCCAAAGTCCTGGATAAAATTAGTCACTGTGGCCCTATCAAATCTGGCTTCCTAAGCATCCCCTATATCTAACCTCTTAATTCTCTCCTGCCCCTTCACCTTAGCTAATGTGTGGTGAGTGTACTGGTGCAGAATGGCTGCCATCACATCATCCAGATGGGTGCTACACAGTGGTGGTGGTTGAAGTGGTTCCCCATTGTTTTTGTAAAGTGGTTTTGGTCTTGAAAAGCGCTATATAAATGTAACAATCGTTCAATGTTAATTCATAATGTCTCCCGTATACAGGTGCCCCTCTAGACTCTCAAATTTGATGCCAAATTAGCGGTTTCAGTTATTTACGTGTTGGCTATGAACTATTAAATGGAAATATTTATGTTGCTTGCTGAATAAACACAGAAACTGACAAAAGCGATACTGAAAATGATTTGGATCATATAAAAGCATATAATACATAAATATTAGTGATACAAAATATTTGTTAGCACAAGTGCATACTATTATCTTTAATAGTAGTCTTGGCTGGGGTACATCGCACATCATTATCTTATTAGCCAGCCTCACTCACGTGTTAGCCGTCTTTGTGATTGTGGAATCTCACAATTCTTGCAGTAACTTTTAAGCTTTTCAGCACCGTTAATTTTGTGTTTTTAAAACCAAAACGTAGTTCTCCCAGTGCATACAGGAGTAACTCTGTACATACGGGGGCATAATTTAGATGGCTTGTGTATTACATAAAAAGGTCTGCATAGGAAATGACAAAGCAATTTGACATGCAAAGTATACAGTACAGTACTGACTGTTTAGAAATTGGTAATCAATAGACTTTTACGTTATCGTTCAGGCTAGCAGACTGCTATGGGTTGAGGTTAGGGGTGCCCAAACACTATTTGTGAATTTTCACATTCTTGCAGATCTTCCGCCCATAACCCTCGAGAATGTGAAGGGGTTACTGTATATGTTTGTAACGATGCTTTATTAACCATGAGGATGTCTTCCACACATACGTCTTTAATAACACCTCATTAACGGTATGGATGTGGACTAATCTTATTATTGTAAAAACTGTTGAATTATTGTAAATGTTACTAATAAGGACAACTGAAGCTGCCTTTCAGCACCAAAGAACAGGCAGTATGTCTTCTCTCTGCCATCTACTTTAGACTTTGATAGTTTGATGGCTCTACATTACATAACATTACTTTACGGCAAGCTGCTACACTGTGTCCATTTATCCATGTTTTTCACTGGAGCCCTTCCAGTTAAAGGACACTACAGTTGGGTCCCCTGGCAGTTAAGCCACATCGGTAACCACGGCACCACCTGCTGTCCTTAACTGTATTCCATCCGATGGTTAGTGTGACGTTTTTCTTTCTTGTTCATTGCATTCTCATTTGCCGGTCAAACACTGGATGTATCAAATGCTGCAGATTAAGCGGACTGCGCCCACCAGCAGAGGACACCGTTGTGAATCACTCCCAGAGGGCACAGTTACACACGTTTCGCTTAAAACTGGTGCCCTTCCTTGGCCCCTCCAGTCACCCACTTCTTCGTCACTACAGCACAGCACATTCAAGCAGCTTCATGTAAAACCAGCAAAGCATACAGAACAAAAAACAAGTGACGTGGAAGGTGCCGTAACATGGCGAACAAAACACCGGGCGCCTGAGGGACTCGCGGTGAAACGGAACCTTCCGGGTCAAGTTATCCAATTCTGTTTTTGTTCTGGATTATGTACTCTCAGCATGAGCAGCACGTACGCTAATGGTGAGGCCGATCCTTAGAGGCCAGACCAAGGGGTTCCAACGTGCCACATGCCTCAGGAGCCCTGTTCCCCAACGCATCTGCCTTCTGAAGCTCTGTGCACAGCACGTGTGTAAACCACACCCCTTTATCCATGGTTATTTCAACGGACCGTCTTGCCCCAGTATCTGTCATCGAAACACACACGGAGCACTCTGAATGGGCAAAATATAAGGCTCCCCCTTTTTTGATGGGGTGCCAGCCCTTAATTATTGGTTTTTACCTGTCCCGGGGCGGCCCATGATGATATCCTTGCAGGGGGCCGGGTGCAGAGACTCCGCTGGCAGGATGAGGGGCAGCAGGGCAGTGGGAGATGGATGGCAGGGCACTGGTTGCTGCACTGGGCCTCCGAAGGGGCCCGTGTGTCCGCCTCGGTCCCGGCTCCCAGAGCCGGAGTTGGTGAGCGCTGAGCCGGAGGTGGGACCGGCGACGGAGATGCAGGCCAGAGCGGGGCTGGCCTGGGCAGGGTGGCCTGAGGGCATGGGGGGTAGTGAGGGGGCGGAGGACACCAACACCAGGGCGGGTGTGGGGTTGCGCAGAAGGACCGTACCGTTGGTGGCGGCGGCAGCATTGATGGGCACAGGAACCTGGAGGCCAGAGGTTGGCTGGGGGGTCTGGCTGTGCTCTTTGGAGCGGGAGGCCACCCCGCCCCCGCGGCCCAGGGGGCGCTCCGTGAACTTGGCAAGTGGCACATCAGGGTTGCGCACAATGACAGGCGAGTCGCGCAGCGGCTGCTGGGACACGGGCACCACGCGGCGAAGGCCTGCATCCTGTGGCAGGGGCGAGGGGGGTGTCGGGGAAACCAGCATCGGTGGGGGCGAGGCGTTGGCTGAGGAGGGGGGTCGACTGGAGGGTGTGGTCACCCCACGTGGCCGTGAGAAAGAGGTTGCATGGGACTGTGTCTGCGGCGACAGCACACGGAAGGCCGCCGTGGTGAGGCCCAGCCCAGGGTCGCCCTGCTCATGCTCAATTTTGCCGTAATCCTGCGACGGTGGAGGTGGTGGCAAGGGGGCATCGGTCTTGCGCTTGCCAGGGCTCATGGGCACGGTGAATGTGAGGCTGGTTTGGAAAGAAGGAGGGATACTTGGGGGGTGCCGGTCTCGTTCGGAGCCCGGTGTGCCCAGCTTGGGCGTGCCACCACCCCCGGCTGTGCCGCTCTGGTGCCGGTGCCGGCGGGCAGTGATGGGGCTGAAGTTGGCAGGCCGGAAGACAAAATGCGGCGATGGCGAGGGCGACGGGGCAGGGGAGAAGGGAGACTGGTTGGACACAGGCGAGAAGGACGGGGTGCCAGAGCGCGAGCTGCTCAATGACACCAACATGGTGGCCGCCTCGCACTCATCAAAGTCAAAGCGCGAGAAGTCCTGTGGCAGCAGAGATGGCAGCACCAGACGCGGCCTAGAGTCGCCCCGGCTGCTGGCCTCGCTGCTGTCCCGTGACGTCTCATCCCAGTCAAACTCACTGCTGGCCCGGCCGCCACCTAGCCTCAGGTCAGAGGGTGTGACGGTGCCCGAGCTGCTTCCGCCCCCACGCTCCCGCTCAGCCCCGCCCTCCATCTCCTTGGTGCGCATGGACAGGTGGCGTGAGCAGTAGCCCCGGCGCTGCGACTCCTTCATACAGCCCTCCCGTGAGCACAGTCGGCGCCATTGTTTGCCGTTAAACTTCTTGCGGATGCCGTTGGGGGTGCACACTACATCGCCCTTCTTGTACTTCTGCTGGGCCGCGGTTAGAGGCGTGCGAGAGCGCGATGACGATGCCGACGAGGACGTGGAGCCCGAGCCGCCACCCCCCGGCGTGCCTGAGCTCGCCGCCTTGTCCAGCGGGACCACGGGTCCGCGAGCCCCCGACGAGGATGGCAGCGGAGGCAGGTGGGGCGACCCAACGCCTGCTTCTGGGCCCAAAATCGCAGAAGACGGCGGGGGCTGGGGGCCGGCCATGGCGGTGAGGGAAAGGTGTGGGGTGCCCATGGGGGTGCCAATGCCCCGTCCCAGGGCGTGGTGAGAACTGGGGTAGCCGGGAGGCTTAGAGAGAATGTGCCTGGGGTGCTGTGTCACTGTCTTACCCCCCACCTCGCCGGCTACTCTGTCCTCCTGAAGGCGGGCCATGCTGAACTCAGACACCTCGATGTCCTCCTCCAGGCTCTGCGGCTGCTTCTGGATCTGTCTGTCCCGCTCCCTGTCCACCGTCGGCCCAGTGGGTGTGCCACCCGAGGAGGGGGGAGCAGCCAGGCGGCTGAGGTGTCGACCCGGCCCTCCCCCAGATGGGAAGCCACAACCCAGAGGGGGCCCCGCAGCTCGGCCCAGTGCCATGCCACTGCTCAGCTGGCTCACCTCCCGCTCCAGCTCCATCTCCATGTCCACCCAGTGCTCACGCTCCTCTCGCTCGCGGTCCCGACCTGCCTCCGGCTGCGGCAGCTCCCACGGGTTCACCAACAGCCGCAGGTGCTGCCAGGGCACCCAGACGAGCTGTGCAGTGGCCATGCGCCGCTCCTCCTCACCGGCGTCGGCGTCGGCCAGTGTGGCAGCATCTTCACACAGCGTCACACGGCATGGCACTGCCGGGTGGCCATCCACCTGGGACACCACACCCTCCCTGTACAGCTGCCGTGCTGTCTCTTGTCCCTCACCCCCAAATGGCACCACCACACGTGTCCCCACTGCCACCGGGGCGGAGCCCGGCGGGGAGGCATCCAGAATGAGGTCCACGGGGCCGCCCTGGGCCGTCCCGCCGGGAAAGGGGTAGTGCCGCAGGTAGTTCTCGCCATTGAGCTGTACGGCAATGCTGTGTTGCTCACCGCTCACCCTACGCACTACGCCTGCCCGGTACACGCTGGAGCGAGGCCCCACCTCCTGCCCCTGGGCCCCACCCTCCGGCACACCTTTGCCTTCCCCATCACCACGCCGGCATCGGGCCAATATCCTCTGGTTCTTCAGTCCTTTGGCAAGCGCATCCTCCAGCCCCGCGGGCAGGCCCCTGTCCCGGTCTGGGTCTCTGTGCGTGGGGCTACGTGTGGGGCTGGGCCGCACGGCCGGCCCAGAGGGACTGCAGTAGGGTCGTGTGGGGCTCAGAGTGGGGTGCGGGTTGCTATGCGTCTCCAGGACCTCAAGGTCTGCCGAGTGCTCGCTGGCTGTGTCTGTGGAAGATGAGCGCACAGAGTTCGGGGGTCCGTCTCCCTCCCCGTCTCCCTCCATGCCCCGCTCTCTCTCAGCAGGGGGTCTGACGGCGGTGGCCCCAGAGGCACATTCGTCTCCTAGGCCGCTGTTGTGGCTGTGGCCATCCGTGTCCATACTGTCCTCACCGGGCATGGCACTGGGGGCAGCGGGCTGCCCACCGCTGATGCCATAGCCGTTGCCATGGGTAGCACTGGACGCGGCTCCTGTACAGTGCTCATATGTGTACTTCTTCTTGGGCACACGGGCTTTGAAAGTGGCCGTCTTGCGGCTCGAGGGGGGGTTGGGGCTGCTGCCCGAGCTGCTACTGCTGCTGCCCCCGTTGTTGTTGTTGTTGCTGCTGCTGCTGCTGCTTCCACTCCTGTGTGCCCCCCCGACTCTAGAGATCCCCCTGTCACTGTCATCTCCCGGCTTCTCACAATCCTCCAGTCGCCCTGGGTCCCTGGGCCCCTCACCGTCCGAGGAGCCGCCGCATCCAACTGTTTCGTCCTGGGATCTGGGTGGGGTCTGTCTCCTGGACTCTTGTGGGGCTCCATCAAGACTGTCCCTCGCCTTCTCTCGCCTCTCCCCCTCCGACGCTGTCTCAGCGGGCCCCCGCCTCTTGCCCCCCTTGGCCCGGGTGGAGGGGGGGGAACGTCCCCCTGGCTTTTTAGCAGACTTCATCCCTGCCTTTAGTGCTCCTGTAATTTGGCTTTTTATGTTAAAGTGCTCCCCAGCTTCTCTTCTGCCACCTCCTTCCACTCTCCCAGAGCCTTGTCCAGTCAATCCCACCTGGCCTTCTCCCTCCTTCTGGGTTCTGAAACACAGAGAAGAGGCTGCGTTATTGGCTAGCCGCCAGCAGAGCCACTAACGAAGACGCCCCGGTTAACGGGCTGCACTTAAGAGGTGAGACTTTCGGTTGGGTGCATGGGTAATATGTCAGAGACTCTCATTGGCACCTCAGTCGACCATACTAAACACAGCGGGGATATAGTGCAGACTCTAGAGAGCAAAGTGTAGCCGAAATCTGAGCCATCACATTTATTTTTACTCACAGCATTAATTAGTTACATTAAATATGTTGCATCAGTAGGTAATACCGTGGTATGCTGCAGTACAGAGGCACTTCATTTTAATATTTATTTATAAGCAGAGCTGATATCATCAATAAGGGCAAATGAACAAACCTATTCAGGCTAACCTCATCACTGGCGGAAGGCAGTGGTGGGATTCAAACCTACAACCTTCAGGCTCAAACCAACCACCGATTCATGCTGCCAAATGGCCACGTGGCAGAAAGTGATCGACCACGCCATCGCCAGCCTCCATGTCTATCTCGAATTAACAGGCGAGGCACAAAACCCTTTCACATTAAGTGATGGCCCCCACCCCTTTCGCCAGGCTTGGTACAGCATCACGGCGCCGGTCAGGTCTGCATCCCAGTAGAGGTCACACAAAAATGGGCCCAGAGCGATGGGCAGCCAGTGTGTGGAGGTTCTGGTCCCGCCTGCCGGGTGCGAGCAATCCTGCATGTAGCAACGAGGCAAGGGGATTTTCCAGAGCTTTCGTCGTTCACACTGACTCTCTGTTTCACACTTAAGTTGCAAAAAGGGACAATTTTAGCTTAATCAAGCATGCGGCAGTGTAATAATAAGGTATGAAGCCGGGGAAAAATAAAGAGCAAGAGCACACAGGCATCCAAAAGCACAGATGCCTCAGACACACAGTCACTGACACACACACACACACACACACACACACACACACACACACACACACACACACACACACAAACAGATGCTGGTTTCCTGGTGGAGGTGGGGAAATTCTTCAACCCCGTCACTTGAAAGTTTAGTTTTTTTCTCCCCCCACTCTCTCTACAGTGACCATGCTTTAACTGTTTGTTTGCCATGACAAATCAGCCCCCACTTCCTGCCATGGCCTGTAACATCACTTCCTCCCGCGTTTTTTTTGTCGCTTTTTTGTCATGTTCATTTCCCCTTCAGCCCTGACTCTTAGTGTAAATCTCAGATTTAACAAAACAAACAAAAAAAAACATCTGACTGGTTGCAATATGAGTGTCTGTTTGGCCCTGGCTCATTTAAAAAGTCAATCCATTACGTGCGGAGACGACTCCATTTTGTCAGTGTTGTCGTTCCCGTCTCTGATACTTCGGAGGACGACGTGATACCGCATCCCCGATGGGGAAGTGCATGACAACACGGGAGAACCCAGCGACACAGCAGTGCCGTGCTGCCAGCCATTTCTGCAGCCATCTGAGTGTACGCTCCGAATGTCGTCTGATCTTGAGGAAGCGAGAGCACGCGAGTTTCAAACGTGTGATTCAGATCCTCGTGAGCTAGGCGGCGAGTACGAGGTGGCAGCCCCGTTGGAGCAAAGACCCTTTAGGGCCCATTAAAAAAACATAGATGAGAATCAATAAAATATTTCAGACGATAAACCCATCACACATGAGGGGCAGAGAGAGGAGCGGCTGCAACGCAGCCCTACTTAATGCCGCCTGCACCCCCTCACGGCTCGAGCTGGATCAGGACGGCATGTTCCCTGGAAACAGGGCACTTGGAGCTGGACTTGGACATCACACTAGCTATTGGCATGCGGGCTGACACCGGTTCTGACCCCAGGCCTCACTCTTCAGGCCTGCTGGGGATCCTCTGTGGACTTACAGGATACCAGGCAGCCTCTGTGAGAAGGGAACCCCAGGCCACCAGGATTGCCCCTTCACCCTGTCCACAAGTCACATCTATATCACTGTCAAAATACCACCCTGTCTCCACAGTAAATTGTATTTTATTGCATATTTATTATATTCACTGATTCTGCTTATTCTTTTACCTCCATAAATTAAAACAACATTAACAGAACAAGCAGACCTGCAAGGAAAATAGCAGCCATCCTCCCCTTCTCGGCACAGGAGCAGGCAAGGGGTCCGAGGCAGTAATTTCCATGCCAGGCAGAAACGACCAAGACAGCATGCAGTAAAACACTTTTACCCTCGTTACCACGATGGCTATGCAGCACACTGACGGCTTAACAGACGGACAGCATTCCCCTACACGGCATACAGCATGCTGAGGCAGCTTGCCCCAACTCCCTCGTAGGGTTTGCAAAAAGGACGAGCACTGGGTATTAGTAACACATGTCACCACATGCCAAAATCATGCTAAGGGGCCTATGACTCCAAGAGTCCTCTGCATTAAGGGATGACGGACCCCACGACCTGGCTTCGACACAAGGGACCCAGGTACAAAGCCGGCTGGCTGTCTATATGACATGCACGGCTGCACAGTGCTTTCTGGCTGCTGACCTCTGCTCCCTCCCCTGTAAACGACACCAGGTGTCCAGTGCCCTGCGATCGTGGTGCATGGGGAGAGCTGTGGGACACTTTGGGGGATGGGGGGTGCATGCCTGTGCTGCATTGTGCAGGAAGTGCACCGCACTGGAATGTGGGTGTTCTGGGCTGTAGTTTCCCATCCCGTAGCGCCTGGGTAGCCTTGGTCTAAGTGGGTCACAGGGGAGCAGGCAAACATGAAACAATGAGATCGTGATCTCACTCACTCTCTCACACGCCTGCCTCACACACCGTCTGAGAGAGATCGCGACCTACGTGCGGTACTTTTTCAGACAGTTTCTCTGGCGTGAGCGCCAGATGCGGAATATATGGTGTGGCTGGTAACAGTTAATTACAACACAACAGCAGAGATGCCGAACAGCGTGGTAACCATAACAGACCCGGGTAACAATCTGTGGCCACGTACAATCTTCCTTCGATCTGGAGAATCCTCACCTATCAAGCAGCGGGATTAAGTGTTAACTGCGCTGCCAAAGCCGAGACGATCTCCCCTGCAGTTATACGGTCCACATGTTGAGTACCGCCAAGCAGGATCAGCGTCTTTTGAGACGAGTCACGTCGCGGCAAGTACCGGTAGAGTGGGGCAAAGTAGCTTAAATGCAGCGACGTTAAGAAATGACTTCTTGCAAAAATGACCAAACTCCCCGCCGCGACAGTGGCACGTAAGGGATGCCAAGCGTACTACGTGCTTGAATGGGTGCCATTTCACCAACGTGAAATAACTTAGATCAATCGTAGCCGTACTAACACGATCACGTTGCGCTGGGGGGGGGGGACACCAGCCAGCTGACTAAGGCAGCTACCTTGATGCGGCGGGGGAGGGGGTGACATTTATCGGGGGGCACGGTTATCCCCGCACGGAGTGACAGCGCTACAATCAGCCCCCGGAGATCGGCCACGGCGGCCGGATCACGGTGCTCTGTCGGGGCAAACCGGCGTAGTTGTAGCGGGCACCAAGCGACGATAGTGCCCGGCGGACAGGCCCGCTCTGTCGTAAGCTGGAGCGCGGCGCTAAAAAAAAACAACGCGAAAAGTGCTTAAAAGGCGGAATAGACAGAGAGCGCGACGGAAAACTTGCATTTCCATGGTGCCCAGCTAACTGCGGGCGTAGAGCAGGTCGTGGCGGCGGCTGTTATGACAATAGTAGCTGGTAGTAGCTAGCCTGGATCGGCCGCGCGTACTTTTAATAGTACGATAGTAGCCGGCCAGCAAATGGCTTTTTAAAGACAGTTGTGACAAAACATGGACATTAAGTGCCTGCGGCGGCGGAGCCGGGGTTCGTTCCGTGGCCTCGGTGTGTTTACGTGCCGCCTGTCCGGGAATCCCAGCGCCGCCGCCTCCGCCGCCGCTCTACTCGGCAGTCAAAGTCAAGTTTACCGCTGTCAATCGGAGCGGAGCTGCGTCGCGTCCCGTTCGCTAGCCAGTTAGCCAGCTAGCTAAGCCATTATAACATTTGACAAAGTTTAGACTGTACACCCCCACCCCTCCTCCCCTATCCTCCCCTCTCCCGCTTCTCTTCTCCGCTACGTTCTTCGCAGCACTTCATCCCTATTTTTTCCATTTTCTTTCCGTGGCATAGACGGGGGCTGCCAGGGAAAAGACCACGGAAGACAGACAGCTAGCTATCGATAGCAGCTGCAAAGCTATCCAGGCAGCTAAAGAATATAAACTCGCTTAAACTCACCCAACAGAAAGGTTCAGTTGGCGACAGACAGATTTATGGTGCCGTCTGCAGTTGGAATATCTAGTACGACCAGGAGTACAATCGAATTGCCGTCCATGGCTGCTGTCTGTCCGGGCTTTCACTTTATTTTCCTCCGTAAAACATGTCTTTTTTCACGGCAACTCAAAGGAGAGGGAAAAACTATCTGAGTCCCTTTTCCACTACAGTCACAAAATGGTGAATGAACCACTAACAGCTGGGCCGTCCAGCCAATCAGAAATCACTGACACTTACAGTAGCCTATAGTTGTGGGGATTACAAAGTACAGGGCTAGACCGACTGTCAAAGTACTGTTGATTGACAAACATCTTGAACAAATAGCGACTGGGGAAAAGGCAGAGCCGCAGCTTCGGCAGAACGGTTACAGTGTCCAATCAAAGTAAGGGGAACCTTAGGAACAGGGAGTAGGTGGGCCAAGGAAAGGAAGGGAAATGCCGGTAGCCAATTAAAAATTGCTGAATGCCTCCTCTTAGTCGATTACCGGTTGTGTTTGCTACAACTGACACCACAGGGACTGCCCCTAGTGCCACGGTGTACACTGGGAATTGTCGTCCGCACCCCCCAGTGATTCCATAAGCGGCGCTGTAGAACACCTGCTACAAAACTACATATGCATTATAAATTTTCACGACATGGCCTAGAGGGAGTGGGACGAGTGACATGGCAACTGAATTGGGGCGGGGAGCATCGACTGAAGATTTTCTCCAAAGTTTTGTTATTTTGATCGTAAGGTAAGATGTGCAGCAAATATTACAATATTACCCCACGCTTAGATTTATATGTGTCCTATAACACCGTGTCATCAATGTTTCACTTTACTTTGTTGAATTCGTTCGCTTTTTCACTCTTCCTTTTTCGTCGCTCTCTTTTTCTCTCAGCAACAGACCCTCACCTAGCCCCCCCAGCCAATCGAGGCTCTTCTTGACGTCGACACTCATTGTGCCCCGCCTACTCCATACAACTTGAGTTGAGTTCTAAGTTGACGTCACTGCATCATCCTCTGATTGGCTAAAAGCTACAGACTCTTTCACCCAATGAACAACTACAACGATGATGTCATCACGCATGTTGCCACCAGCTGGACTGAAGAGGCGTGGTCTGGAGTAAACTCGTCTAACCCCATGTTTACTTTAACAAGGCTAGTAGTATAAAGTAGTGTATATGGGTGTAAGTCCTAAAATGTGTACTATTATGTCGTTTTGGTAGGTAGGAAACTGCATACATTTCCTGTATATTTCATATATTTGTTTTATAAAAATTGTGTAGCGTTACGATTTAGTTGTATAATAATTATTGCGAGTTACGAGAATGCTCCTCTGATCATTTACAAGTTAAAATTAGGGAAGTAAAATGTTTGTTGCACATACGCAACGCAACGCAGTAACCGTTACATAATCATACTTGTGGGCATCGTCGCGTATAGCGAGAAGCGCAGTTACTTATGGCTATTTACGTAAAACTGCGCCCCCTAACTGTCATGTAAAGTACTTCTGTTTGCCCGAACAAGACAGTTGATCGAAGGAATTATCTGGGTCCCCACAGGCTGAAACTGCCGTTAACTCAAAATTACTGCATTTAGGGAACAGAAACTGACACTGCTACAAGACTGCAACAGAGATCAGTACTACTACTGAGCGGTGAAATAGATCCGGGGTGACTACTGGATGGGGTGGGGGGAGAAGGAATATCACTGTGCTAAGATACAGAGACACCTACAGGCTAATCGGCGATTCTACACTTCATAATACATGCAGTCCAGTTCGCCGTGGAATTTTTGTGGTTTTATGGGGTATTTCCAGGATGTTTATGGCCTAACGGTAATAACTTGTAGTGTATATGATAGCACTTAAGCAGCGGTGCTTTTTGTATGCATAAGACGGGAGGGGAATCGGACACTGCTGCATGCGAATGTGTGAAGTGAAAATTAATTTAGGAACCACAAAGCACGTTTAATTTAGCATTTTATCATTTCAATTCTCTGAAAGAAATACACAGATTGAAGCCAGCACGTAACAGCTGTGTACGCAAAATCGGAATTCCCCAGGAAACAGCTTGAGTTTTGGCAATCTTCAAGTTTAAAACACTAAGTCGGGACTTGTTTATTATTGCTACCTCTAGTATTGTAAAAGGACACTTTTCAAAGGTGCAATAACGATTGTGGGAATTATGCAGCGTCACAGCACCACCCAGGTGGAAGGTAACGCTATGAAGGCCATACAGTAAGAAACCGGGGCAGCGATCCAAAAAAAAAAAAAATGTACGTGGTACAGTCCTTCCGATCGACCTTTTAAAAATTCAGGGATGTGTTTCACTCCCCTATGTCGCGCTGCATTTGAAGCCAGCGTAACGATTCTTTTTGAAGGTCATGTGTCCTCGACTACTCCTGCAGAAGGGATGACATCATGACAGAGCCGTAGGGCTCCGATCCTGGAAGCCGGACAAAACCGCTGATCAGACCGGCCTGCCTCAACCCACACGGAACGTGTCACATAAGGGCTGCAAACAGAACAAGCAAGGGAGTAAACATTTGCTTATTTGTTGTGTTTTCTTTGATTTACAAATTAAGCACACTTTTAAACTGTAGATTATCCTTTTTGCACCATGAGAGCTTGAAATATTTAGGCAACTTCAAAACTACAACCAGAGGTGAGATTTATGTTATGACCGTTTCAGTAGTATTATGACTAATCCAGAAAGTGTACTCTCAGTACCGACAGAAAGAGCCTGCGGAGTTTTTGCATCCACAACAGATTCCAGTTTCCCCACCCCTGAAGTCTAAAGTGACCAATTGGCTGGCATGAGAACGGCTGTGATTGTATTTAAGGGCGGGCATGTTTTTTTTTTTTTTTTTGCTGAAATTTGTCCCAACCTCAGAAAGCCTGAACAAAACATTTTCTTAAAGCTGTAGTGCTCCCCGGATGATGACATTGTTGTGCAATGGCCACTCTCGCTTATTTGCTAAACTCTCACCCTCTCTCTCTCCTGAAAGCTTTGACCCTTGACCTAAACCTTGCCCGGTTAACGGCCAATCTCAGCATGGGCCACACTCACCCGTCAGTCAGCCATCAAGGGCTGGCCCTCCCGCCAGGCAGCATGCTGTCTGATTGGCCTGCTGCTGCCAGAAACCAGACAGCCATCGAAGGACAAATGAAGTGAAACAAATAGAAGAAGAGATGGTTAGACAGCAAGACAATGGGAGTGGCGGACGGTGACAAGGAGAAACAAGAGGGAGATAGCGTCATGGTTCTAAAACGAAGCGCGGCAAATGGAATAAAATACCTGCGGCACCAGTGCAGGCGCGTTAGCAACGTGGCTAACATCTGCCTTATGGTACCGCCTGCACAAGTGTTAACCAGAGACATGTCAGTACGGGGCCGTAAAACTTGCTCGAAAGTTTAATCAGCTCGCGGCCATAATGAGTGATAGTCACAGGCCACTTTTTTTGCTAGCGGTAAGTGTGGTGAAAACCAAACTTCTGCAGTTGTTCTAGAGGAGTATATATTTAGTATTCCAAGACTGTTGTGTCTTGGTTCCAGAAGTTGTGTTTTTTTTTTTTAAAGAAGTGTGGTTTTGGTGTGGTTATCCCGGCCAAGATTTCTAACATTTCTGCCTAGCTCTGGTGGGCCGCAGTTGAGAGGCGCCCTGGTTTTGGGTAGCAGACTCAGGCAGGGTGTGGATTCCCAGTCGTGGCTTGGCATGGGACGACCGAGTCTGCAGCTGGGTTCCAGGGACCGGTCGTGGCATTTCACCCAGTCTGCTCTGGGCAGAATGGTCCAACGGACCACTGAAAACATGCCCGCCGTGTTTTTAAATCTGAACTTTACACCCAGATAAGTATCCTTCTGTTCCAGAGATGCACTCTGGAGATCCAGGAGGCAGCTGACCATCGTCATATCACATTAATTAATTACCATCTTAAATTATATCTGTGGTTATTTGTATGTTCCTGGTGGTGCCTGTTAGCTACATACACTCACCTAAAGGATTATTAGGAACACCTGTTCAATTTCTCATTAATGCAATTATCTAATCAACCAATCACATGGCAGTTGCTTCAATGCATTTAGGGGTG